CAAATCTAATCATATCAAATAAAATATGTTTACACTATGAATTATATTTAACACACCACCTAATTCATTGTGTCTAAACTCTCTACATTCATCATGACTCTTAATCTTCTGAAGGCTTCGACCTGCACTCCCTTCGTCATGATATCTGCAATCTGATTCTCAATTATGCAGTGTTCCAACTTCATCTTCCCTTATGCTACTTGCTCTCGAAGATAATGGAACCTCATTTCGATATGCTTGCTTCGACCATGAGCTATTGGATTATTCGCCAAGTTGATAGCTGACATGTTGTCTATCCTCATGGTAATTGCTCCATGATTCTTCCTTGTGATTTCTTCGACCAAGTTTCACAAACCCAGCTGGTTGTGCAACATAAACTTCTTCGTCTAAGGGGCCATTAAGGAATGCACACTTCACGTCCATCTGACATGTGTGTCAGTTGTTCATATTTTCTAGACCAACAACCAACCTGATTGTTTCGATTCTAGCAATAGGTGTGAATACTTCATCGAAGTCGATTCCTTCCTTCTGAAGAAATCCTTTCGCCACAAGTCTCGCCTTGTGTCGAGTTACTTCTCCTTTAGTATTTACCTTTACCTTGTAAACCCACTTCACATCAATTGTCTTCTTGCCTTGCGGCAATTCAACAAGTGACCAGGTATCATTAACTTCGATGGACTCCAACTCTTCAATCATTGCTTTCATCCACTTCGAATCTTTCAATGCCTCAGCTGCATTGACTGGTTCGACATCTGCGTAGAAAGCATAATGTACCAACTCACCCTCTTCATCGACTACATCATCTGATGTAATTACACATTCTTGCAACCTTACAGGCATATGTCTTGTTCATCGAGGTCTGCTTGAACCTGCTTTATCTGTAACTGGTTCATGTCGAACTTCTATTTCGACTTCAGTGGCTGGTTCTTCACAAGAGATTCTCACTGAATCCTTCTTGGCATTCTCAGTCCAATCCCATTCTTTAAGCTCATCTATGATCACGTCCCTGCTGATCACTACCTGCTTATTCACTGGGTCGAACAACTTGTAACCTCCTTTCGAATGATATCCTATCAAGATCATATGATTCGACTTATCATCAAGCTTCCTTCTCAACTGATCTAGCACATGTCTATGTGCTATAGATCCAAACACCTTCAAGTGACTGAGACTAGGCTTGACACCAGACCAACATTCTTCTGGTGTGATTCCTTCAAGCTTCTTGGTCGGACATCTGTTCAATATATATGTTGCTGTCGAAACTGCTTCTCCCCATAATTCTTTAGGTAGATGCTTTCCATTCAACATACTTCTCACCATATTCATGATGGCTTTGTTCTTGCGTTCTGCAATCCCATTTTGCTGTGGAGTGTAAGGTGGCACCACCTCATGCACAATCCCTTCTTTTGCACATAGTGTATCGAACTCTTTCGACAGATACTCTCCACCACCATCATTCCTCATAATTTTCAGCTTTCGACCACTCTGTCTTTTGACCGTGGACTTGAATCTAGAAAATACCTCAATCACATCACTTTTCTTCTTGATGAGGTAAGTCCACAACTTTCAGCTGTAATCATTTATAAACGTGACAAAGTATCTATTGCCACTAATTGAATCCACCTGGATTGGACCACATACATCAGAGTATATAACTTCAAGTATTGCCTTCGACTTCCTTCCTGCATCCTTGCTGAAGCTATTCTTGTGTTGTTTCGACTGAACACACTCCTCACAGACTTCCCTTGGAATGTCGATTTCTGGTAATCCTGAAACCATATTTCTTCTCTTCAGTTCTCTGATGTCATTAAAGTTAAGATGACCTAGTCGAAAATGCCATAACCACTCATCTCTGCTGGCTGCAGTTGCTAGACACTTGTGCTCCATCACATTGAGTCCAATCTTGAAGGCCCTATTTTGAGACATTGGAGCCTTCAAGATTAATCTACCACCTGTGTCGAGAACTCTCATCATCTTGTCTTCGACAACTACCTTGTAGTTCTTTTCGACAAGATGCCCTATACTGAGCAAATTACTCTTCATGCCTGGTATGTACAACACATTGGAAATTGTTGACCTTTTGCCATATTTCTTCATAATCAGAACATCACCAACACCTTCGGCTGCTAGAGTGTTGTCATTTGCAAACTTCACTGTGTTCTTCGACGAGGGCTTCATGTTGACAAACCAATCTTTCCTTACAGTCATGTGTGATGAGCATCCTGAGTTCAAGTACCACTGATCTTGGAATCTTTCTTCATCTTTTGTTGTGACCATTAGCAACGTTTCTTCTTCTTCATGTTTCGCCAGCTTTGCATCAGTCTCTTGATTTCTCTTCCTTTCTGGACAATCACTAACATAATGACCATACTTCTGGCAATTGAAACATTGAATGTGGATTTTTTCTGTCTTTCGACCACCACATCTTCCTTTACCTGCAGCACCACCTCTTTGGTTGCCTTGGTTCCAAGGTTTCTTCTGACTCGACTGGTTTCCTCCTTTGTTGTCATTCCATCTACCTTTGCCTTTTCTTTCCTTTTCTGACTGCGCCTGCAAAACCATATCTTTTGACTTTCCTGCAGCTCTCTTAGCCATCCTCTGTTCATGACACTCAAGAGTCCCTTGAAGCTCTTCCTTCGTCAACACTGACAGATCTTTCGACTCTTCTATGGCAACTACCACGTTGTCAAATTTTGGAGCCAACGATCTCAAAATATTTGAGACAACTGCTTTCGTCGTCAGCGCTTCTCCACATACTTTGATTTGATTCACCAACTTTGTAACTCTGGTGAAGAAATCTGTAATACTTTCGTTGTCTTCCATCTGAAGCAACTCATAGGTTCTCTTGTGAGTTTGTAACCTCACCTCTTTCACCTTCTCTGCGCCTCCAAACGACTTTTCAAGAATCTCCCATGCTTCTTTTGTTGAATCAACATCACTAACCTTTTCAAAGTTATCAGGATCAATACATTGATGAATTATAAAGAGTGTTTTATAATCCTTCTTCTTCAATTCTTTGTGCGCAGCCTTTTCCGCCTCCGTTGCGTTCTCCCCAAGCGATGTTACTCCGTCCTTCACAAGATCCCAAAGATCTTGATAACAGAAAATCACCTTAATCTGCTTGAACCAATTATCATAATTGTCTTTCTTGAGAATTGTCTTTCTTGAGAATTGGCAGGGTCGCTGAAAAGTTGTCGTTCGGATAGTTCATCGCCATCACTATCTTCCTTGAATCTCTCGACCGGAGCTCTAGATACCAGATATTGGAAATTCACCTCACACCCTATGAAGAATTCCCTTCAATCTTGATCTCAAGATTGATGAACAAACCCACAATATGATAGTAATGGTAATAACAAGTAATTATCAAGAACAACAAAAGAGAAGAAGAATAACAAACAAGAAAGAGAAGAATGAGAGAAGAAATATTTGGAGAAAATTGTTACCCACAACTGTGGAATTTCTGATTATATTGAACTTTCACTTGCTAAACTTTGTAACTGTGAAATCTGTTCAATGTTGTGTTGTGTAGAATACAAAGCAAGACACCCTATTTATAGTTTTAGGTTTACAAAAGCCTAAAACATAAAAGGCCCAAAATATTCCAATCTAATCATATCAAATCAAATCTGTTTACACTCTGAATTATATTTAACAGAGGGTGTGTGTCCTAGAAGAGGGTGTGATGATTTTGTTGTCTAGCTGTATTGTAAGTCCAACTGTCTGTCTGTGAAGCCATGACAGGATAGCCCTTCAGGTTGAAGAAGATACTTTGACAGTTGAATTCAAGCTAGCCCTCAAGCTATTGTGGAAGGCGTCTGCACCTCTTAAAATAAAGATCTTTGCCTGAAGGTTGTGTTGGAATCAGTTGCCAACTAGGGACAATCTCTTTAGGAGGGATATGTCTCTAAACCAACATGAACTAGTGTGTGTGTGTTTTGCTTTGATGTTGCAGAAGATAGTGGCCATTTAATGTTTAATTGCTCTAGAAGCGGAGGGGTTTGGGGCATGGTGTGCCATTGGCTTGGGATACTTCCTTTACAGGTTCATGTTGACAGTTTTGACTAGCACTTGGGGGTTTGGATGGAGAGACTCAAACCAAAGTCTTCTATAGTGGAAAGTGTGGTGGAGTTGTGGATTATTGTGTGTTGGTGTCTTTGATACTCTAGAAACCAAATATTGTTTAATGATGAGGTTTGCGATAAGAATTTGGTGTTACATAGAATAATCTTCTTATTTTGGTGGTGGATTGGTAAGAATGACAAATATTTATCAATTTGTAATTATTATGATTGGGTTAAATATCCATGTTTGTTCTTTTAGAATAACTTTGGTGATCTATAGTTAGTTGGCGATTGGTTGTAAATGGCCTTTTGTTCAATAGGAGGAAATAAAACAGTTTTTAAAAATATGGGGATAATAAGTTCATTTCAAGAAAATTGTGGGTCAAAAGTGCTTTTAAATCTGATTTTTGTATATCCATCCGTTCTTTATGTTTTGTTTAGCATTTATTCTTTAGAAGCCTCATATGTTCCTGGTACGTCCCTAACTTCATATCTTCAGCTTCTTTTTCTGCAATTATCATATTTGATGCCTTATAAATATCTGTTAAAATGCAATTCAGTACAGCTAGAATAGCAACGGAAATGCTATGAAATTCATGAATATCACGTGTTTGATTAAATGTCAAATTGAAAAATGTAAGTGTCTTTTGCTTGATTAACCCACGATTTTTCATGAATCAATTGTTCTTGCAATCATTTGCAAAAACATACATTGTTTGATGTCATGCATGTAAGTTTTCCTGTACATTCTAATTGTTTGATAAAATGTAAATGTACTTCACAATTCATAAAATCTATTACACAAAGTAATTTGCTTAATTAGTCCTATTGTGAGCTAAATTTACATAGATACATTACTAACTGTTACAACTTACAAACATTCATATACTATGATGAAATCACCAAGGCATCAATCCATAAGCTAGCATTAGTATTTCATGGAAATTTGAAGTTATCCGTAGTATTTGGGTCATCCCCACCACCTGTTGGTGGGCTAATCGCAACCCAAAGCAAAGAAAGTGTAATCGCAATAAGACCTGACCACACATACACAATGGTGGGAGTCTTCCCTCTTCTTCCCATCAATCCTTTCGCAAATGGATACAAATGAGCAAGAACCCAAAAACTAAAGAATGCTCCTCCTATGAACTTACTCCATTGTGGGTTTGCGCTATAAACTGTCCTAGAAAAGGCAACTACAATGGCAATGATATTTACCATAGCGATAACTATGGGCGGTATCATTAGAGAGGTCCATTTGACTATATACAAATCTGCAAAAATATCTTCATCGTCTTCTGCTCCTGATTTAGCTGTCAAAGTAAAAGAAATCTCAATTCCAGCAACCACTTTTAGGAGACCCTGCACCACAGCAGCCAAGTGAGCACTAGTGCCAGAAATGAGCCAAAATTGTTCGTTCCTCCACCACTGCTCTAACTCTATGCCAGACCACTTAACCTCGAGAATGGCTAGCATCACCAGGCACAACGTCATGATGAGCAAGTAGATTAAGAAGGCGATGCTGAGAGTTTGCACAATAAAATATCCAGAGAACAGTGAGAGTGCTGGGAGGAAGCAATACACGATGAGGAAGAGGGAAGTAAAGGGGTAGATTCCAACATTTAGGTAAGCGAGACGTTGTAAAAGTTTTAGGCGCTTACTGCCGAGGAATGCATTGTTCTTGGAGAAGAAAATCTCAACAGAACCGGTGGCCCACCTCAGAACCTGATGCAATCGATCGGTGAGGTTAATTGGTGCCGATCCACGAAATGCGTCTCGCTTGGTTATACAATATACAGAACGCCACCCACGATTGTGCATACGGTATCCTGTAACCACATCCTCTGTCACTGACCCATAAATCCATCCCACTCTATCTCCCCATTCTGTCTTGTCTTCATACCTACACGTAAAATGATATATCTTTAATAAGATATAATAAAACTATGTAAATTAAATGTCTTTATATGATCTGCTAATATACATGTGTGGACAATTAATATAATAGAAATGCAATGTCAGCATTCAATTTATGTTATTACATGTGAATAGATATGTTCTGTTTTGTTTTGTTTATATGTATGTGCTGGGAAAAGTATTACATACCAACAAGAAAGCACAGAGACAGCTTCTGCTACAATAGGAGCATCAAGCGGCTCTTTAGGGGCCCTTAGTTTACCCGGCGGACGTCCATACTTGATGGCAGGATGATCTGCAAGAGGGCGACCTTGGAACTCAGCGACGGGTATGCTCTCAGCCAACATGGTTGAATTACCAAAGCGCTTGGGCAGCAGATTTACATCAAGATCTTGATCAAACTCACTGGCACTCAAGGCCGGTGTAGTTTCACAGTACTCTTCATTACAATTATGTTTAGGATTTTTCTCATCCCAATCACCCGATGGCGGGTCAAAGCCGTACAGTGCAAATCTCCTGAACATGCAGCCAGTTCCAACATAGACAGGTCCTTGAATACCATCAAGGGCTCTCATGTTTCCATCAAAGAATACAGTGTTGTGATTGGCATAACGATCTGAGGGATCAATGCCTTCAAATCTTTGGGGGAACTGGATATAACATATGTCTTCACCACCTCTGTCCATCATGAAGCACATTCCTTCACGTACCGCCTTACAATTATTTATATAGTGATCACAATCAAGATTGAGAATGAATGGTCCGTTTGACAATATTGCAGATGCTCGAACTAGTGCATTCATGGCACCAGCTTTCTTGTTGTGATCATAACCTGGCCTTTTCTCTCGAGATACATATACTAACATCGGCAAGCGTGTGTCCACTTCAGTGAAATCTATGATCTTGTCATCTTCACTTCCCATTAACGAATCAGGATTGGGTGGCTTCAGCATCACCTATTCACACACATGAATACATTAAAACTTTGATATGAATATACACGTGTGAAATGTAAGTTGAAATCCATGATTGAGTTTATTCATAGTATAATAAAGTAAATACCTGAAGTATTCCGGCATGGTCACCTTTAGCATGTTCTCTAGAAGAAGGACTCCAAGTGCCAGGCCAATGAGTGCCATCAGCCATCCAAATGGCCTTGACTACTTTAAGAGGTTCAGAAGGGTCAGCCCCACTCTCCTTCATATGCTTCATCATCTTCATTTCCTCTCTCGCATTAAATGCATCAGATCTTCTCCTAATAGAGTCTGGCAGGCCATTTATGCGCACTTTGAACTCATCGTACTCCCTTTTCACCCTTCTTCTATCCTTTACGAAATCCAATCTACTCTTGTTCTTGGTGGGATCAATTTTTAAGGAAAAGTAAGTATCAGGATTCCTCGGCTCAATATTGTGTTTGCGACAAAAGGGAACCCATAAATCAGCGAAACTCGCTGCCTCAGCCATTGCTTCAAAAGTCAAGAGAGCACCTCCATCATCTGAAACATAACAAGCAAGCTTCTCCACAGGGTAATCAACTGCTAGTATGGAAAGAATAGTATTGGCAGTTACAAGAGGTGGCTCTTTATCCGGATCAGCTGTGGACACAAAAAGATCAACACCGGGCAGATCAGATCTTCCCGTGGGATTGGATGGTGATGGACTATCGAATTTCTCATGAAGGACATTGAGGTCAGTGGAACGATTGACAGGGGAAAGTTTTGGAATTTGGTCAAGTATCCATGAGAAGCCAAACCATATCTCACAAGTAATTGACATGAGCCACAACCATATTGCATCTTCATTTGGGTGAACCACTCTCCAATGCAAGAAGAAGAACATCACTACTAAGCGAACAAAAATAAGCAACCTGCAATTTGATTGAATATATGCAAAATTAGGTTTGATTAGTCAACATTTATGTCTTGTAAATAATTTGTTGAATTGAAGCTATGGAACAACAATCATAAATAAATCTAACCTGTATGGACTTATGATGCCATTTGGAATTGGTGTTTTTCTGCACAAAGGCTTCCAAGGCTTCTCAGCAGCATCAAATATCCCTTCATGATGACCATAGTCAACATCCTCATCATCATCTGGAGGCCAATAAGCATTTCCAACTCCATAGGTACCTTGGGTCTCAAACAACCATTTATTGTGATCAAACTCTCCATTTTGTTTTCTCTTCATAACTGACATATTGTTTCTGAAACCTGGTGGCGCCGGTAATAAATAATCATTACTATCATCTTCATATTCTCTTACTTTGTAATGCTCCTTACAACCGGGACACATGCCGTCTTCTCTTTGTGCATCTATAAAACAATCTTTACAAATCTTGAACCTGATGAATATGGCAATGTTGTCATACTAATATTTGCAAGATAGGAATGAAAATAATCAAATCATGCCGACGTAACGCTAGCGTTACACTTCACAATAACGTCTCACTCTCCGTAAAAACTTATTCAGATACATATTATACAAAATTAGATGTTGGATTAAAATTACAACAAGATCAATGTTTTGTATGCATAACTCGTGAACATATATACATACACACACATACCTACACTCACATGGAGTCACGTCGTTTCCTCTCTCATTCTTCGCAACTTTTCCATTACAAATTGAACAGGAAGATACTTTAGCCCCTGCCATTTGAGGATGGCTCACTTGAGAATCAATTACTTTGTCCATAAGATGAGCTCTGGTTACACTATCGAATCCACCGGTAAATAAAGAATTCGAAACATGTTGTTCTTCAGCTTTTGTTGCAGCAGAAGAATCATCCATTGGTTGGTTATCAGGGGTATGAGGAATATGAACAGTGTAATTCTTATAATCTCCTGATGCATTTGAAGCCATATCAATGTCAGTATTTGACAAATTAACATATCTTCCACTTGGTGTTCGCCTCGCAAATTTTACATTCGGCTTCTCGCCACGCGTAGATTTCTTTGAAGTTTGTTTATTCAATGATGCCATTTTTTCAATTTATATTGCTAAATCTACACCCGTCTAGTTTGATTAATTCTCTAAGAGCTATCTATGATAATCTACATACATGTGAATCATATTCAATGCATGTAGCTAGCATATTATCCATTTTTTAATTGATTGGCAATGTGATCCTAGTTGAAGAAGAAATATTGCTCAAATTCATTAGACCCTATCCAAATCCGAATCGAAAACCATAACTTTCTTCCATTGCATGTTAAAAGGAAGAATGAGAAGAAAGGCTGAAATTGTTCATGGTAGGAGAACAAAAGGGATTAGATTAAAGAACATTAATTGACTAAGAAACATATTTTGTCAGACAAGAGAGTACTGGTGTGGAAGAAGATAGATAGATTTACGGTGAGATAGATTTACGGTGAGAGACCAAGTCCTTCCTATAAGGCTACTTTCATGGTTCTCATTTCCTGTTTTCTAGGAGTGATATATATTTCATGTTCATTGATGTGAGTTTTATAGAAATAATTTTTTTTAATTCAATACAGACCAAAAAGTAATTATTTAAATTAAATTTTTTTATATAATGATTTGTTATGATCCGAAAATTAACTCTTTTGCAATTTTTAATATGTTATTTACTCTTAATTTAGTCAAAATTAAGTCCTCGGATATATAAGTTTGGTTCATTATTTAAAAAAGTCTTTTAAATTATTACTATTATTTTTTTATCTAATTGGTCATGTATGTTACAAGGCAAAGATCTCAAAAAATCAGAGTTCTCTAAGCAAGGTTGCAAGATTATGAAGTGTTGGTGATAATGAAGTCACACTAGATAGAGATTTACTTCATTTTGCTTTACTTGCAGGAGCTGAACCAATCAATTATAGTGAGGCCTTAAAAGATAAACAATGGAAGATGTAACACCCGAGATCGAAGAGGGCGGGGAGTGGTTGTAACACCCGAGACCGAAGAGGACAGAGTGTGGTTGCTTGAATTCACATTGTAATGAGAGGATCATGAAGTTGTGTAGGTATGAAACTGCATGGTTGAAGGAAGACTTATAAAGATTGATTGGTACTACCTATACCAACAAGATACATCTTCTTGCCGGTAGCCTAACAAATAAGAACTACATAGTTAAACGTGCTTGACTTGAAGTAGGATTTGGATGGGTAACTGTTGAAGTGGTAAAGCGGCAAGCAAAAATTTAAGTTTGGAAGAATTCTGAGATTTGTCGTTTCCACAGAGATCGGTGCGAGGGAAGGAATGTCGTTCGACAGTCTCTATGTTTCTAAACTTGAGTTTAAATGAGTAAAGTGCGGAAAGTTAAACATATGAACAAGTAAATAATGCATTCTTTAAAGAGGAGAGAACTTGTCAGAAATTGTATTTCATCTACCCATCCAATACTAAAAAATCTATCAATCAACAGTACGCAACCTAAATCACTCGTCAATATCATCACGTATCGCTCACAATAGAGGTTATGTCTAATGCAAAGTTGAGAGAACAACTGTATCGTCTCATCGGTGATGTCTTACGCAACTCAACAACACGGAGCATTAGAAACTGATACCCATGCGAATATTAGACCTAAATCTATGTCTAGAGTTTAGAATCTAACAAATGCTCATCTTAGATGACATCGCTAAAGAGTTGCAAAAGAGACCTTATACAATGATCAATAAATATACATACAATCAAGATAAACTTACATACAAAACCCCAACAAATAGAGAATACAAAGAGAAGAAGAAAGATGAAGAGGAATTTCTTGGTTTGTCAACGCCAATTGAAGCAAATCCAACTCCGGATCATCGAGATATAAACTCTAATGTTGTTTCTAAGTCTCAATGCTCAAAAATATGTTTGTGATGAAGTTAGGAGTAAAAATCCCCAAAAATATCACCTAAAAAATGCTGAAAAAGTGACTTTATAGGTAAAAAAGACGTCTCGCGGTGCGAGCTCTAGGTCGCACAGCGAGCATATCAGACTTACCTACTGCCAAAATAGTGCTTTTCCACGCTTCTGAGCAATTTTTGGTTTCCTTCAGCTCGCACAGCAAGCTCGCCTCGCTTTCAGCTTGCACAGCAAGCTCTAGGCGATCTCGCCTCGCTTTCAACTCACACAGCGACCATGATAGACAATTCAACTCTTGTTTCGACCATAACTTGAGAATCGTAAATCTGTTTTACGCACGGTCAGAAGCGTTGGGAAGCTTATTTAATGCTCTATAAGACAATGACTAAATATCATTGGGTGAAATACCTACAAAAATGAGATAAAAACAATTAAAATTAATGATATTTACACGATAACACTATATATATATATATATATATATATATATATATATATATATATATATATATATATATATATATATATATATATATATATATATATATATATATATATATATATATATATATATATATATATATATATATATATATATATATATATATATATATATATATATATATATATATATATATATATATATATATATATATATATATATATATATATATATATATATATATATATATATATATATATATATATATATATATATATATATATATATATATATATATATGTAACACCCCAAATTTGATTGGAATATTTTAATTGATTTATTTAATTGAGAATATTCATTTTTCGGTGGTTTTGTGGATTATTGAGAATTGTGCATATTTGGGTTATTTATTTTGAATAATAGTATGTAATATGAATTTATTAATATTATTATGAATTAAAATAAATATAAGATGAATAAGGGCAATTGGGAGAATTAAGAGGAGTTAGTGAGGGTAGTATGGGAAAAGCCCAATTATGAGGCCTAAGACTAGGTTTAACAAAAAGGAAGTTCTGAAGAATTAAGATTCATTTTGTTAACCGTGAAAAGTATTGAGGCCAGAGCTCTGAGGAGAAGATTGGACACAGAAGCTTCGAGAGATTCCGTGAAAGATTTGTGAAGGCTTGGAATCAACGATTAAGGTATGAGGAGTATAGCTTTTCATGATTTTCCATGTGTGCCTTTCAATGTAATTATGGTTGATTTAAGGTTTAAGGGATTTTGAGGGTAGAAATGAGAAATAGTGATCTTTGGCCATTTTGGCCTAAATCGGTTATTGGTGAATCTAACCGTGAGTTTAATGGGGGAAAAAGGAAACCTAGGCCTTCGTGGCCAAAACCTTGAATTGTTATATGTCTGACCCTGAATGTGTGGGAATATTGGATAGTGAGTAACTCTAATGCCTTAGGGTGTAATTGAAGGAAAAATTTGTGATTTAGGAAGTGAATATGTTACGGGATTGACCTAATAAACCGTAGATTTTATACCTTTATTGCCGTAAGACCTTAGGGATGTTTTGGGGATATTGGGGAAGTGAATCGTAGAGCTTTATGAGTGATTTTAGGTTCTGGTGCGTAGCAGACTTTGCTGTTATCTCACAGTTCGCCTAGCGAAGAATGCTTCGCCTAGCGAATAGTGTTGTTCCCAGACTCGCCTAGCGAAGAAGCTCGCCCCAGACTCGCCTAGCGAACATGCCAGCGAACGTAGCAGAGTTTCGCGAATGTTGATCGTGTGCAGTGATGCCTTGATGTTTGAGTCTGTGATTTTTGTGATGAGTTAACATGAGTATGACAATGACTTTTATGTGATGTGTACATGATGACATGATGATTTCTATGATGTTATATGATGATGATTTTTATGAATTATATGATAACATGAGATATGATGATGATGAATATGATGAATGATGATGCAGCTATGCTGTTATTATAAGGATGACTTGTGAAGTGTGCATCATGCATTCATGTGTGGATGTGAAATGTTTTGATGTGCTCCGGTTCTCTAGTAGAATCGATCCTATTGATGAGGATCTATGGAGGGTTGATGGCCTAGTGTCCATCGAGCTGTGATGATTGGTACCACATGCATTGATTCTTGTTGCATTGTATTTATGAGTCTTTTTGTATGAATTATGATTTTGTGACCTTTGAGGTCTATTGAAGGATATGAATGTGTTGAATATGATTATGACGCCATTTTATATTGATTTTTATACATTGATTATTATGAATTATTTTACTTACCCTGCCTGTTTGAATGTTACCTCCATGTGGGTAACGTGCAAATGATCAGGTTTAGCCGTGGACGCCGTTGAGGATACTTTTTGAAGTCTTTGATTTGTTAGCCTTTTTGGTTAACTTAGAGGGTCTTGCTCTGATATGTAACATCGGGTTGGGATTGTCTGAGTTAAACTATATACTGTTGAGTTATTTTTCTTATCTTCCCGTATGAGGGAAACCTTGATTTATGCCTTTGAGTTCCGCTGCTTTGTATAGTTTGATGTATTTTGGGAAAACCCGTGGTTTACGGAGCCTTGACCTATTTTGTTGATTTGGGAAATGTATGCCCTTTTTGGTGGCTTTTTATGAAATTTAATAATTTACTCTGATATCTGTGTTATTTTGCCATGATAATTGTAGGGGTAGAAAAGGGTGTTACATTAGTGGTATCAGAGCAGGTCGGTCCGTCCGGCCAAGTTTTTATGTTCTTAGTCCTCTGTCAGTCAATAGTGTGAGAACACTATTGATGAGTTGTTTTCTTCTAACCTTGTTGGTGGTTGCAGATGGATGGAAGGAATGATTGTGCTATTGCGGATGCGCTGGAATCACTTGCCCAAGTGATGACTCAGAATGGTGGACCTTCAAACGTGTTCCGTGCTTTGGGAAAGTTCCTGAGGAACAATCTGCCGACTTTTATGGGCACTCATGATCCTGATGATGCGCAGAAGTGGCTGAAAGTGATTGATAATATTTTCCGAGTTATGGCGTGCACTGATGTGCAACAAGTACAATTTGATACGCATATGCTAGCAGAGGAAGCTGAGGACTGGTGGGATAACACTCGTCAAAGATTGGGAGATACTGGCATTGCAATAACTTGGGTTGTGTTTAAAGAAGAATTTTTTAGGAAGTATTTTCCTGAAGATGTTCGGGGCAAGAAAGAAGTG